ATAATTATTAATAAATAAGTATAATAATAATTAAAAATTATAAATGGTCAAAAAATAAAAAATAAAAAATATAACAAATAAGAAATATATATAAGTGACGATATTAAGTTAAATTTTTTAATAGTAAATTGTATTATAATATTTATTATGTCGATTACAATGGATTCAATAATTTCAAATTTTTTTGTTTTTTTTTGCAATTTAGACTTAATTCAATCAATAATTTTGACCGAATTAAAATGAATAATTAATTTACTTCAATCATTAAGTTCAATCAAAATATTATGAAATATAATGCAATAGTAAAACTATTTCGGTCATACATTTTAATCAAAAAAAAATAGAAATTCATTAATAAATAAATTTGCCTTTTTTTTGGTCAAATAATTTGACCGAAATATGGGTAAGAGAAATTTACTACCAGCCTCATTGCAGCAAGCTTCTTGACAGAAAATATTCTGCATAAAATATCAAAAATACCCCTCCCCTTGAATTCAGTCATGTAATAGTTGGGTCCAATGTTGCTTCCAAATACATAAAATAAAATAAAATAAAAAACAAGTTGAAGGCCAAGTGCAACAAGGAAGAAAGAAGTGGAACAAGAATGCCAAGAAAAGTTTTCCACGCAAAACGGGCTTTAAATGTGTGGCCCAATGTATTGACCCATCTCAGCGGCCCACATCTACTAAGTTCAAACCCACGGCAGCCCTAAGATAAAATCGAGCCCACCTCATCAGTTTACCTGCCACCGGTTCAAACTAGCCACACTCCCCCTTCACCAAAACACACCGTTTAAGCAACGTATTGCTTGAAAAATCAAAAACACCCTAAATCCCCCCATTTTAGCCGGCACACTTTTTCTCTCCTCTGCAACATCGTCGATCAACTCCTCCACTTTTCTGTTTCGATCACGAAACAACCACCACAACCACAGCTATTCTTTTCATCCTTTCCATACTATTTTTTTCTTACTGGAGAATTTTCAACGTGGTAGTGTCGTTCATAACATTGAGAACTAAATAAAGTAACTTGAGTCCTCAGAAAGTAAAAACCACTCACAATCACCAGACATCAGATGATCAAAAGGAGTTCTACTAAGATATTTTGTGGTTAACTTCACATAATTTATGTTTCCTTTTTCATTAGTATTTATTGAATTGAATTGATTTACAATGAATACGTTATCATTTCTTTTACCTTTTTTCTGTCTTTCTTTGGAAATTTAAATTTTAAAATTAATAAAATTCACATCAGGCAGCTAATGAAGTTGAAGTGCAATTTATTGATGCAGTTTTAAAGTACAACAGTTTGCACACACAAAATAAAAACAAGAAAAAACAAAAAAATGTAGGCAAAAGAATACATAGCCAAAGGCTACCACCAACAGATAAACATTCGTCTTCAACGGATCCTCCTCATCATTCTCCTCCTTGACATCCTAATTCAGTAAGTCCTCATCAGCCATTCACATGTTCTTGCAAAAACGATGTTCCCAATCACCACACCAACAAGGAATCCACATCCACAACCCAACGCCACTGCTTTCCAACCAAATTCATTCAGCTAGTAATCCAGAATCTTCATTTCCTTTAGAGTTGGAAGATGGTGGAGGCGAGGCCTTTGAATTGTCACATTTCATTGACAGTGGCAATCCACAAAACCCTAAATTCCCATCAAATGAGCTATTATCGAACGTATCAAATTGTTAGCCTTTCGAGATAAGTCATGTCAAATAGTTGTAAGATACATTGAAAACTTTAAGGAAATTGAGTTGCGTTAGCTGCGTGGGAATGCTTCCTACAAGCTTGTTTTGAGAAAGGTCTAGAGCTTCAACATTTTTGAGATTTCCCAAGGCTGGTGGGTTTGGACCAACAAGGATGTTATTGGAAAGGTTGAGCAATTGAAGTCCCTTTAAGCTCCCTACTACATCTGGAATCCCTCCATCAAATTTGTTGCAAGAAAGATCAATGGCAGAGAAAATCTCTGATACCTTTGCATATTCCATTTTCACTCCTTTGTTTGTTATTGTCATTGAGTAGGGGTATGGACTGGCACCAATTAAGCCATTCAACATATAATTGTCATATGCATGCCAATATTTTGTGTTCTCCTTATCAACATCTACCATGGCACTCCACAAGTTGAAGTATTTTGTTGGTAGAGGACCAACAAATCCATTATGAGAAAGGTCAACAATCCATAGATCAAGAAATAAGGAATTCTGGAACATTAATTGCACCATAGAACTTGTTGAAATGCAAAATGAGAATCTTCAATCTAGGAAGAGTTCCCAACCAATAAGAGAAGGTATCTCTAATATGAGTGTTACCAAGATCAAGAAACTCCAACATTCTATAATTTGCCAATGATCTTGGTACCTTTCCTTGCAGATTATTCTGTCCTAATTTAATCACTTGTAGATTGTTTCCAGCTACCGTAGACAAGACGTTTTGTTTTTTTCAAGAAATAATTTGATCTAAACTAGTAATCAAGAATAACACTGGTTTAGAAAACTCAAACAGCTTCCATGATGCATGTTGTAAACCTCTCACCTCAATTACTCATTCTCTGGTCTATGGACTTAATATATGTCACGGCGCTAAGGTTATAGCCAGCATTACAATGCTATATAGATAAATTTGCTCCAAGCCAATTGAGGCATTTATCCATTCAAAATTGAATCAAGAAATAGGCAAACCATATTTACAGAACACAAGAAAAATTCCCAGGTTGTTTCCTATCAGCCATGCAAATAAGCAACTGAAATGCAACAAAAATATAAAAAGAAAATACAAACGCAAGAAAGGCATTCTGCTTACATCACCAACATTGAGATCCGGATTTCCATGAGTGTTTCCATTTTCAGATGCATTTTTCTTATCATTAGGATTCCACTTGGAATTGCTACTCTGAGGCCCATCAGAACCATTGTTGGGGCTCTTAATGAACATTGCATCAGTAACTTGATCCCCTAGGTCCATAGATTCATTGGTCATGCTGGCACTTTCTGAAATATTTTCCAGCTCCGCATTAGATGTCTGGTGCTTCTCAATTTCCAGTCTTAAAACAC